GATGAAACGTTTCACTAAAGAAGAACCCATCCAGAGGACCTACTTATATTTTCTTTTTGATTTTTGTAAATTAATCACTCTGTAAATTAATCAATTTTATTACTTTAAACTGCAAAATTTCTCTATTTTTTGACAAAAATTAGATTTATAATAAGGTTTTTGAAAGTTTAAAGTATTAAAATGATAGCTGGAGGATTTAGATTTTATAATAAATCTGGTCTTCAGTCTGTCTTTCCTCCTCCTCCTCCTCCTCAGAGCCTGTGTTATCCTGGGCATCATTTTCATCCTGTCCTCCCTGTGCATCATGGGAAAGGCCGTCCACGACCTCGCCACCAAGCTGCTGCCTGAAGTGGTGAGAATTGATTAAGTGACACAGATGTCTAGTGATCCTCCTGATCTACCTTATAACAGGTTTATCTTCATAAATAATCCTTTTAATTTCCTCTTACTCAGCGTTTTCTCCTGCAGGCGGCAGATGCCAGAACAAGAATGTCAGGAGATTTGTTCTGTTGACATATTTAGATAAAAATAACAATAAATACTCAACATGTTAAAGCTAGTCCTCTCTTCAATTTATATTTATAAAAAATATTAAGCCTAAAATCTCCTGAAACCATGATGTTGACGATGTTGGGTTTTGACATTTGTTTAAGTTTTTCTCCTATTTGCTTTGTTGTTCTGTTTTTGAGGTTCAAATCCTAAACAGCTCGTGGAAATGAAAAATGCAAACGAGGATAAAGCTGTCTGATCAAGGGGGGCAGGTGGGGGAAGCACCATTTTTTGGGGTTGGGGTTGTCATTGCRCCCTTTGACCCTCCATCTTGAGGGCGCCCTTGTAAAAAAGTGTCTTTAAGGACTAATTTTTATGCAAATTTCCATCATAACTCATTTCATATTTTTGTTTTTGTCTCAGACCCGTCTGAAGCTTTCCTTGGTTCTGGGCTCAGTAGTGTCAGATTCATGATGACGTCCTAAATCAGGGGTGTCCAATCCACCGTCCAGTATGGTTCATATGTTTCTCTGTTCCACCGTCTGATCTGAATGGATGAGTGACTAACAGGGAAACATGTAACAGGTCTCTCTTGTAAATAAGACATTGGGCCTCATGCAAGAACATATTTGTATTCTTATCCTAAATTTCTCTTACTTTTGTTCGTACGAGGGGTTCGTACGAACATGTCACRTCAGATTCAACAAACTCTTCTATCTTCAGGAAAAGTGTGTAAATGAGCTGCATAAACTGATGAATGTGTATCAGCTGCTCGTGCACGGGGAGAGGTGATTTACATAATTACCACCCTAAAAACACCATAAAGATATAAGTTTCCTGCCTCACCTACCAGGATGTGTCCATTTATAAATGACATCGCAAAGTAAAAAAGAACTTTACGAGTTCAGAGACTGAAGTCCTGCTCTCAGAGATCCAGAAAAGAAAATCTGTCATTTTTAGCAGGTCAGCTGTGGAATTAAAGGATCTGCCTTAAAGCCGAGGAATGAAATGATGACTGCTGTTAATGTCGTGTCTCCTGTGGGTCGTATACAGACACAGACATAAAAATCTAAATCATATTCATCTCTCTCTGTAGTCCTGCTCTGGCTTTTCTTTGGTCAGATATTTTTAATTTAAGTGTAAACAACTGTGTTAAATAGTTTTCATTTATTCAGAAGAAGAGCAGTCGCGCACCGCCCCGAGGTGTTGTTGCTGCTGGATGAAGAGTGTCACAGATCTCAGGTGTGACGTCTTCAAATAGCTCCATCACCTTGTTGCTAGGCAGTCATCTCCGTAGAAACAGCCAAGGTGAAACTGAGAAGAAAGTTTGAGGGATTATTATTAGAAGGATTGTTAATAACATGACGGGACTTGCGCTTGGTCTGGAGTCAGGTCTTGGGGGGCAGCAGCTTGATCATGGAGGTCCAGACCTCTCTTTCTACAGCCACCTCATCCAGCTGGATCCAGCACCTGGTTTTTTCAATCACTGTGGTCCTGAGCACAGGTGAGTGACGGACTGTAGACCAGCAGGTGAACAGAGAGCTTCTCCTGACAGCTCAGCTCCTTCTGAACCACAGCGGACCATCAGAGTCCAGAAAACTGCAGAAGCTGCACCGATCCTCCTGTAGATCTGACTCCCTGTTCTCAAAGCTTCATGTGTTATATTATTAATATTAAAATCAGAGCGTGAACACATGAAGGTCTCTGCATCCACTCAGCTGTCAGCTGAAACAAACCACGTATTTCTGCTCTGATGGGAAATCCCTCCTCAGGATCCAGACGGAGGTCTGACGTGTTCAGAGCCTGGAGAGAGACGTGCTGACACCGAACATGAACGCAGCTCTTAACATTTACATTTTCATGAGAAATACTTGAGGTAAACCTTCCAAGCAGAACCTCAGCTCAGTGTAGAACACCTGACCTTGGATCTGCAGACCCTGAAACTGAAGAAGAATCCTTGTTGAGGGTTGGAATGTGATCACAGAATGCCTACATGGAGAGATGAGATTGGTTTTCTGACATTAATTAAGTGCAGAGGAGCAGTCAGATGATAAAGCCTCCCCTCCCCTAAGCAGCATCTTTAGCAGCTGCTGCTTACCTCATTAACATTTCATAAAGATGTGGAGGAGTGATGGAAACAAGACCTGATTTCTGAGGAAGACTGTGAGGACACATCAGGTCTGAAGCAGCAGAGTGAAGCAGTTTGACTAAAACAAATAAAACAACGGTCATGTTTACGCTTCAGTCTGTCTCTGGAAAACACAGGTGGTCCAATAAATCTATACTGAGTCATGAGTCTGGATGACTTGTTTCAAACTCTGACACCAATTTAACAGAAAAGATTAAAAGGATGTGACATTTGTAACCCAGCTGATCCTAATGAAACCAAATCAACATTTCCAGGTTTGTCATCAGGTCCTCTCACACATAAAACCTTTTATTATAATTACACTGCTCAGTTACAGTTATCCAAAGCAACGTCTCTGATTGGTGGTTAGATTCTCTTTAAATATCTTAGGGTTTTGTTCACAGTGAGGGAAGAACGTTCATCAGATCTACAGAAGGATCGGTGCAGCTTCTGCAGTATTCTGGACTCTGATGGTCTGTTGTGGTTCAGAGCGAGCTGACAGAGAGCTGCTGGTCTACTTTCCTTCGCTCATCTGTGGTCAGGAACTCTAGTGACCAAGAGAACCAGATCTCAGATTCAGGAGGCCCAAATATGTTTTCTCTGCAGGGTAACTGGACTCTCCTTTAGAGACAGTCTGAGGAGTTCAGTTCTTCAGGAGAGACTGAGAGTAGAGCTGCTGATCCACATCCAGAGGAACCAGTTGAGGGGGTTCATCTGGTAAGGAGGACCTGTGTGTTTTGGACATGTCTCGCAGCTGGTCTGAGAACAACTTGGAGTCTTCCCAGTAGAGCTGGAAGAGGTGGAAATTGAGGTCTGGACCTCCATGATCAGGCTGCTGCCCTCAAGACCTGGTTCTGGACCAAGAGAGGATGGATGTACAGATGGATGGATGGATGGATGGATGGACAGATGGATGGACGGATGGATGAATGAACAGATGGATGGATGGATGAACAGATGGATGGACGGAAGGATGAATGGATGGATAGATGGATGGATGGATGGATGGATGGATGAACAGATGGATGGATGGATGGATGGATGGATGGACGGATGGATGGATGGATGGATGAACAGATGGATGGATGGATGGATGGATGGATGGAYGRAYRGATGGATGGATGGATGAACAGATGGATGGATGGATGGATGGATGGATGGATGAACAGATGGATGGATGGATAGATGGATGAACAGATGGATGGATGGATGTTTTTCATAAATCCACTGTTGTTCACAGGTTGTGTCTGTGAGTCAATGGCTGTGTCCACAATGACAGGCCGGGTCCCCCGAAGGTGGAATTTGTCGGCCGCATACGTCACAGCGCCGCGACGAAGGACGTCGAAAACCGAAGACTCCTCCGATGCGTCCGACAAATACGTCCTTCCTTTGGCCCGAATCGAAGGACAGGTCTGATGGATCSTTSCCGGCCCAGCATATCCCATAATGCATTGCGGCCCGACCGGAGATTTTTTTAAGCTAGTAATGGCGGACGAAGCGAGAGAAAAGAATACATTTTAAATAAAAATATGGTGATATAAAAATTTAAAAAAATTAGCGGTTGTAATTCTAATACTTTTATCATTTGAATGGACATGTTTTTAAATATTATTTTTGTCATTAAAAAACGCGAAATAAACATGAACCTACAGCGGGTCAATTAGTTCTTCAAATGATACTTTTAAGTTAATTTTATAGTTTTGTGATATTAATAATGCTAATATATTGATATTTTTCTAGTTTTGATTTAAGTTTGCTTGTTTAGCGTCGTCACAGTTGCTAGGTGACATGACGTACGCCGGGGTAAGGAGGGGAGGCTAGACCGTCCAAATTCACAGCCTCTTTTTTTCCGGTCTTCCCGGTCTACCAAGGACCCGGCCTGTCATTTTGGACACAGCCAAAGTGTCATCCTTCTGTTCATTTGTCCCACAGTTATGACATACGTTTGTCAGCAAAATATCCTCTGAATCACTGGAAGTTTTTTTAATAAAACCTCTTCATCATTAACATCAGTCAGACTTGTTTTCCTCAGTGTGAAACTCGTCCTTGGTTCTCTGACTCAGGTCTCTGCAGCTCCTCCTTCAGGTCTGAGGCGATGCAATATTAATATTAACGCTGCTGCAGAGAGCGCTCCTCTCCTCTGCAGAAATGTTCTTTCAAACCAAACAAACAGCAGGAGTGGAGCGACAGAAGATAACTGGACTGAAAACGTGTTGTGGAGCAGAACCGGTTCTCCTCTGGAGGATCTGCACCGTCTGCAGAGCTGAGAGTCACTGAGCACCAACATCCCACATGATCTGTTAAAGCTTGATGTGTGTGCTGAGGAAGGACTCACAGATACTACCACTCCAGATATCAGCTTCATTTTTGTAAAACTGCCCGAGCTTTAGCCTTTTTTGTGTTTGGTAGGGTTGGCTGGTCATTTTACATCAAGTTATTCAGCTGTAAACAAACATCTTATGGTTACTTTCTGAGAGTTTCACTCAAATCCATTCAGCAGTTTGTGGGATATTTTGCTAACAGACAGACTGTGATGAAGCCACGTGTTAACCCTCGAAGCACACGATGAGGAGGACTCTCAGCTACAACCACACCAAGTTCTAGCTCAGGACCTGCCGAATTCAGAGTTATTTTGTGTTCGCTGTGGTGGATTCGCTGAGGCGGCCATCTTGGATCAGGGTGGCTCCAAACACTGCCTGAGAGCGTCAACAAAATTCATCCAGTAGTTCTGAAGATATTTTGCTAACAGACACTCCCCTTTCCTTCATGCTGGTAGGCATTAATGACAAACTTTAAAATCTCACCTGTTATTTCTCAAAATTACACATTTTGTTGATTTAAAACATTATTTGGTTCTGAAGTGAACCGTCATAGCCTGAGAGACAAAACTCAGGGCACAATGAAGAGGAAATGTAGAAATAAGTTGCTTAATCAGAACAAACAAACAAACATCATGATGCTCCTCTTTTGTGGGATGTAAATCTAAAGACCACTCAGGTCATCTCTCTCTGTTTGTCTCTCAGGACGACTTCCTGTTCAGCGTGTCCATCGTCAGCGGCCTGACCTGTCTCATCCTGGCGGTCATCAAGTTCATGCTGGGCAAAGTGCTCACCAGCCGAGCCCTGGTCACCGACGGTAGGCACTCGCTGAACGTTGAACCTTAGTGTTCGACTGCAGGAAACTTTACAGAATCAGGTCGTCTGCAAACTTGACTGTAATTTATTAAGTATACTGCATTTTATACAAATCGAGATGTTCTGTTCTGTTCTGTTCTTTTAAATTGCCCCACAAGAGAAGTCAATCCGACCAATACAAGTTTTGCCAAGCTCCGCCCACACATTAAACCCCACCTATTATCCAAACTCCCCTAGTAATGTTTAGGACAAACCCCACCCACACAACAAGAACCTCCCCCTACATGGTGCAGAGACCCTTACAGCAGCTTTACTCTGCTCACTTTAGGAATTTGTTCAAAATTTTTGTCAGGAGTCAGCATAAAGGTTTTATTTTTACCAGGCTTCTAGTTTCTGCTTTAAAACATCTTTATTTTACTCAGAGGGATTTTATTTTGAAATATTTCATCTTATTACATTTGATCATTTATTGAATCACATTTATCTCATAAGTTGTTGAAGAAATAAGTTTGAAGCAGTATTTCCTTCAGGACCTCCAGACCTTAAAGCTCAGCAACTGGTCTAAAGTTCCTGCTGGTCCTCAAGAAGTCCACTTGGAGTCATTTAGATGAGGACTGCAGTCCAGAGATCCAGATGGAACCAGATGCTCAGACGCTGCTGGTTATTTCAATCAGAACCTCTTGGTTTTATCTGTGTGGACATCGTTGAATCAGTGGTGGTTCTGGAGGCAGGACTCGAACCCAGGTTCTCCGACACCGGTGTCTTCTGGTCCTGGACCTTCCTGCAGATCCACTGAGTCCTCTTCACATTCTCAGATGTTCTGACAGAACTTTAACTTTAGAGTTTTGTTGAAAACCTCAGAAAGTGATGAGTTGTGAACTTGCAAGTATATACAAGATTTCTACAATTGAATATTTAATAGTGACTGTGGAGACCCAAAGACCCGACCGCCAAGACCTGAAGCAGACATAAGGTAGACTAGTCCCAAAGACCCCGAGATAGACCCCAAGCGTGGAGTCCCCAGTGGCACCAGTGCAGGAAGAACCCCCCCCCACCCCCACGCCATAGGAGAGAACCAGGAGAACCCCCTTCCCACCCCCCTCCCGCGACCCCATGCAGTACTCCCTCGAGGTTGACAGCGGCGAGCTCACAGGCCCCGCTGGCACCTGCCGTGCCGGAGAAGATCCAGGTATGGACACAGAGGCCTGGGCCCCCACGGTGCACCACCCTCAGGCCAAGGCCCGATAGGGCCAGAGGACTCAGGCCTCACCAGACAGTCACCGGGCCCAGCCAGCACATGCCCGTGCGCCCAGCCCCAGACACCGAGGGCCACCATTGCACCAGCGGGCAGAGGCTCAGCCCACCAGAAGGCTGAGTGGCAGGCGGACAAAGCCCACCACCAGCAGTGGGCCCCCAGGTGAAGAAGGGGAAGCACAAGTCTCAGTCTGACAAATATTCAACCATACACAGACACAATCACATGATCCCACCCTCATCCTCACACCCACTCATTCAAAGACACACAAGATGGACGCAATACTCCAATCACACTCCCCATACACACTCTATACCCCACAGGTCCAGGACATGCACCCGCCCCAGACGGAGGGCAGCCCACATCCAAACCCAGGAGGTAGACCCATTCATTCTGGGGTGGAAAGGAGCAGACAGCCAAGGTCCAGCCCTGACCGCACCAGGCTGACCGGTCAGCCCCCCCGCTGCAGTCAAGCCACACCCCCAACCACCCCCACACACCTCCAATGGCCAAGCGCGCACCCCCAGCCGACCACCCCCCGGACTCCGGCAGCCACCCCGGCCAGTGGGCCAACCCCGGCAACCAGGAGCCATACCCCGGGAATCCAAATGGCTCCAGGGAAGCCGGAGCACCAGCCCCACCCCCGGCACCCCCCAGGCCCCGAGTCCACCCACAGCCCAGGGTCCCACCAGACAGTCCGCCCCTCCTCCGGACCCCATCCCTAAATGGCAATCGGGGAACGGGGTAGTGAAAAAGACCCCCCCCCCACACACACACACACACACCTCCCCCCTCAGATGTGCTGTTGATGTGTGTTGTTCTATAATTAATTAAAATGGGGAAGAAGAAGGGGCAGAGGCCAGCATGGTGCCAGTTTTCCCTCCATCCCAACTCTAAACCAAAAACCTAAATGTTTACAAGCAAACATTGGGAGTGGGCACAGGCATCAGTGATGAGAGTATTCATCCTGCCCCAAGTGCCCACCCCCGAGTCCCTATATGTAAATGTTATGAGGATGTTATAAGTGAATGTCTAGGGTGTACAGTAAAATTGGGGCACAGGTGGCCCCAGGACTTTTAGTTCCTGCTCCAGTCCTGAAGTTTAGTTTGTTGCTTAAACCTAAAAACTTTCAGTCGTCATGGAGGACGAAAGCAGCAGCTGTTTGTTCTTTATTTTTTTTATTCATCACTTTTATTCCTCTCAGCTGACATCAGGAATCAAACCATCAACCTGACCAGCTATTAGTTCTGAGCTTTTTCGGTTTGTGACAGACCTGGACTCCATTTATGCCCTGAAACCAGGTTTGTTTTGCGTCCCCTCAGGGTTCAACTCTCTGGTCGGGGGGATCATGGGCTTCTCTATCCTCATCAGCGCCGAAGTGTTCAAACACGAGCCCAAAGTCTGGTACCTGGACGGGACTATAGGTGTCCTCATGGGCCTCATCATCCTCGCCTACGGAGTCAAGTAAGTGAAGTTCTGTCAATATCTTACCTGCTGCAGGTGCCTCTCAGTTTGAGGAAAATGGATAATCTGGCAGCTAGCTGTAGCACTTCCTGTGCAGCCTGCTGTACTTCCTGTTGGAACACATGGCCCGCTCCACACGTGAACATTTCAGACAAAATGTTCAGATGATGTCTCAGCCGTCCTTTTGACACGTCTTCTCTGTCTGCCGTAGGTTGCTGATGGACATGGTCCCTCGAGTCCGACAGACCAGGAACTACGAGCGCTTTGAGTGACGGATCACAGAGGAGGAGGTCTGACTGAGGAACTGTAGAGACCATCACACTGGGTCCTTCGGGCATCAGGATCTGGGACTGGGTTTTGGTGTACAAATCGTCTCAGTGAGTGGACTGACTACGTCCTCACGTCTCCTCAGCTGTGGACAGATGAGCTCGATCCACCAGAAACTTTCATTCAGGAAGTGGTGTGTTCCAGCAGGAGTTCATCACTCAGCTGAGACGTTTCTGGTCTTTTAACTTTTTATTACCTCATCAGTTCAAGAAGGTCCACAAGGACTGGGCTACCTGGAAGCTTAGGTGCTGAAGAGGAAAAAAGAAACCATTCTCTTGGTGTTTTACAGAACTCGACTCTTATCTGCAGCAAACTGCAGGTTTAACAAAAAAAAAGTTTGTCAGTGATTTGTTCAGAGCCGTCGCCACCTGCTGACCAAACTGAAGAACTGCAATGTTTTAAATATTTATATTTAATATCCAAAATATACACAAATACACACTGGGTCCTTGAGGACCTGCTACTGTAGTAATATGTACAAAATGAGTACAGATACCACATACTATAGGAAGTTGAGTAATATCACACATACCTGAACTCTCCATCTCTGAACTTTAAAGTTTTGTCGAAACAAATAAATTGTGATGTTTGAGTTTTTCTTAGAGCTTCAGCTCCACAAAGCTTTAGTCTCAGGATGCCCTGCAGAACCAGACAGATGTTTACAGATTGTGACTCAGAGCTTTTATTTGGGATCCATGCATTTTCTCACCAGCTGCTGTTTGATTTGTTCCTCCTTGTGTCGACACATGAAGCATTTACACAGTAATTAACTTATTGGTGTTCATCCTTTACGCCGCCCTGACTCACAGGGAAGAGAGCCCGGGTCAGACCCAGAACTCTCCGGACAGATTATAGATCCTCTCTGGACCGGGACACCTTGGGGACCTGCTGGAGGAGCAGGTCTGGGTTTCTGTCCTGGACCTGTTCCCTCCACAGACTGATGTGTTCCTCAGGGGGACCCTGTGGTGACGTTTGGTAACCCCTCAGATCAAAGTGTGTCCAAAACTGTTCTTCTGTAAATGTTCTGTAGATTTAACGTTTAATGTGATGTTGAATAAAAATCTGAGCCGTTTGTCACAGAAAAAAGATTTATTTAAAAATAAAGTTGTTTCCCTCTGACTCACAAACAAAAACAAACTGTTATTCACTTTTCTGGATTCTGGATGCTTCAAACTTTAAAACATAAAAAATCCTTTTTTTTTTTTTTACTAAAGGAAACATTCGATGCTGATGATGAAGATGATGATCTGTTATGTCCAATGAGGCTTCAGCTGCTGGGAATTCTGGGTAAATTAGAACAGACTCCAGTCACATGAGCTCGTCTGATGGGAGTCATGGGAACTCCATAATCTAATCCACTGAATTACCTTTAACTCAGTTACATTTACTCCAATTTAACCAAAGATATGTTCAAAATAAAAGCACAAAAAGGCACATTTTATAAAAACAAAAACATTAAACTTGGCAGCACGACATGATAACGTTCATTCTGATTTTACATTTGTGCAAAGACAAAACACGATTGGAAAATAAAAGCTTAATTTAAAAAAAAGCACAATTGTTACTGTCAACTTTTAAAGAGATGAGAGAAAAAAGTTTTTACCCAATTCACGTGAAAAATAAAACCTTCTGACGTCTGGATCAGACTTAAAATCAGAACCCCTCTTTAAATTACTCTCCATAAATAAAACAAACAAAATAGACCTCGCTATAAATAAAAAACAAAAACAAAATTCCAGCAAAACAGAGAAAAAGGTTTGTGTACAAAATAAATACATATAAACATACAGTGTCACTAAGATCTGGTTAAACCTCTGTAGATCCATTAACCCGACCCAAACAGAACATCTGTTTAAAAAAAGCTCCAGGTGAGGACGTGTGCTGCAGGGACACCTGGTGGACAGTTTGTCTTTGTTCGGTCCGGATGTTGTGCTGCGACGTTTCAACAAATCTCTACTGGCCGTGTACAGAACAACAGGAAATATGTGACAATGACACGTCTGTGGGGGGGAGGGGGGGTTCTGGGGTCGTGTGGACCCCTAAACCTCCCAGAAGCAACATGGAGACTTCAGTCTGCTCAGACCAGAGGGACCAGATGGTTACAGTGTAAATCTGTGTTTCCAGTGCAAAGCTACCTAAACAATAACAGTGTCAGAGTGTGGGGGGAGGGGGGAGGGGCGGCTGCTTAAGTCCAACTTCCTGTCTTGATTCAAGTAAAGTCCCTCCTGGACTCCTGGCGCCCCCTGCTGGTGACTCTGAAGGTTCATGTTTGTTGGGGAGGGAAATAATAAATATGAAGAATAAACTCGGTTCTGTTTCTTTTTTTTCCTTTTTGTTTTCGTCTCTCGCTCCTCCTCCTCCTCGACTCCGCCCCCTGCCCCTTCCCCACCTCCTTCTTGCTATAGGCAGTCCTTGCAGAGCGCCACCTGGCCCTTCATGTAGTCGCGGCAGGGGCAGATGCGCCGCAGCGACTGGTGCGCCCCCGCACAGCTGAACAGCAGCAGGTCTGACTGGAAGATGCAGTGTCGACGCGTCTCGCTGTACGCCGGGACCACCGTGTCAGCGCTGGACTCCACCGTCTGACAGTCCACCCCGAACCTGAGGAGCACAGCAGGACTCCATCAGACCGGTGAAACTCTACAAGTTGGTACAAATGTGTGTGTGTGTGTTTGTTTGTGTTTTCGTTTGTGTGTGTGTGTGTGTATGTGTCTGTTTGTTTGTGTGCCTGTTTGTTTGTGTTTGTGTGTCTGTTTGTGTGTGTGTGTCTGTGTTTGTGTGTGTGTGTGTCTGTGTTTGTGTGTCTCTTTGTTTGTGTTTGTGTGTGTGTTTGTTTGTGTGTGTCTGTTTGTTTGTGTTTGTGTGTGCATGTGTGTCTGTTTGTTTGTGTTTGTGTGTGCATGTGTGTCTGTTTGTGTGTGTTTGTTTGTGTTTGTGTGTGCATGTGTGTCTGTTTGTGTGTGTTTGTTTGTGTTTGTTTGTTTGTTTGTTTGTTTGTTTGTTTGTTTGTGTGTGGACGGGTTTTTCCTACAACATGGGGTATTTTTTACAAAAAAAGCAGCCAGGTGGGGACTGAAGTGAATCGTGGGGACCATTGTCAGGTCCCCACGGGTCCAAATGCATGTTATAGGTGTGGGGTTAGGTTTAGGACCAAGGTTTATGTTAGTTTTAGGGTCAGGTAATTTTCTGTGAGGTTAATTTTAGAGTATATGGTCAGGGTTAGGATATAAAGTCTAAAAAACATGAATGGAAGTCAATGGAAGGTCCCCATGGGGTTGAGAAACAAACGTGTGTGTGTGTGTGTGTGTGTGTGTGTGTGTGTGTGTGTCCCACCTGGCCAGGTCCTTGTCTTTGTTCAGGTGCTGGAAGAAGGCGGGCTCACAGATGAGCTGAGCCTCCTGACACACCTGCTTACAGGACTGGCCCGGCTCGGCCTGTTTGACCTGCAGGGCGCTGAGGGGGGGCCACATCACCTGACCGTGACAGAAGTCCTGACGGGACCAGGAGAAACACACAGCACCCATCAGTCACCTTCAGCTCACAGGAAGACACTTTTAGGACAAAGACCAAACTGATCCCTGTCCTCAGGGACAGTGGGATTATTAATCCTCACAGATTATTAGTCAGGTTGTTGGAGGAGCTGCAGGACGTACCTGGTTCTGGATGAAGGCGTTGACCCTCTGCAGCATCCCCTCACAGGTGAACTCGTACGGCAGGTAGGGCTCCATCTGACAGAGACACAAAGACTGTTAACAGAGAGCAGGATCCTCAAACACAACACTTCTACAGTCACATCCAGGAGTTTGTTTGTTTGTTTGTTTGTTTGTTTGTTTACCTTCTGGCTAAGGATGGAGCGGATGGCCTTCTCCACCTCCGCGGGGTTCTCGATGTCCACCGTCCAGACGTGTGGCCGGCCGATGTACACCTCAGCGTACGGGTGCTGGGAGGTGAGCTGCAGGCAGAGAGAGCGCCGGCAGTGAGACGAGACAAAGAGGACAGA